GAGTCACAGAGGGACTCATAAGCAGCATTGAGTAGGCGCGACGTGCCGCCGCGACTGCGCACGCTGCTCATGAGGAAGAGTCCCTCTGTGGTTCGAGACTAGTAGAGTATTTCACAGTACAGTGTAATCTCACTAATCCGGCACTTTTGAAAACCGGAGGGTGCCCGAGGGAATGTTCGGGAATGTTCGGGAATGTTCGGATTACTGGGTTGTACAGAAAAAGTCATAAATAAAAAAAAAGTCAAATAAAGTAAAGCATTTCATAGAGAGAGTAAATGTATGTAATGTTTTAAATTAACGTAAGTACATATGTAATTAACTAGATTTAGAAAACAAATACGTTAGTACGTGCACGTAATTAGTTTTGAGGTTAGACTGCTAGTCGACAACGAAGTGACCAAAGCGCACAGGTATAGAGGGGTGATGGAAGTGTGGGCAAAGGGTGCCGGATAATAGGCGTGTCGACAGGGTAAAAAAATCAAAAAAGTAATTAGTCCGTCATTAAGATCGCACGAAAATATCAGACACGTATTTTTTGTTTTATCAATTTAACAGAAGAATACGTAGTTATTCCGCATTAAAGTTAGGGAGTGGGGGGTGTTGACGTCACACTTACGGAAAAATCGTACCTAAGTGTGACGTCACGCGTCATTTTAACTCAAAATATCTACATGTTTTTTTAGATACGAGAAAAAAGAAAAAATACGTATCGAAGATTTTTAAAATATCTAAAAGACGGACAAAAAATTATAAAATAGTCGCCATGCCTATTGGAGGTGCCGATCTATCGAAGTGCCGGATTAGTGAGATTATACTGTATATTTACGTAAGATTCACTTTTCACCAGATATGTAATGAGTCCCATGCAATAGGGGGTGAGTGTAAGTCTATTGCCATACTTTGGGCACAATTATAAATGTAAAAAAACCACGATTTGCTTGTTTGTTTTCTTACTATTTTGATATGGTTTAGCTACAAAATTACTTCTTTTTTTTTAAATAATACGTTGCCCACACTAGGATTTTCTCCTGTGTCATGGGTGCGTTTATAAAGATACAAATTCACATACACATGACACCCAGAGCCGGAACAACAATCTGTGGATCACACAAAGTGTGTGGAAACTTAAAATCAATATTTCTGCATCCTACACAAACCTATTTCTACATTTGTACTGTTTCAAACTAAAATAAGAACTTAAAAAATATATTGAACTACTATTCTAGTACATAATTCTACTAAATATTTGATACAAAATCCAACAATAATTATTTTATGCGAAAATAGACTTTATTGCATTCAATTTTAGGCAACAGTTTATAAAAAATATTGCTCATTATTTGTGGTGGAGGAGGTCATTCGAATTATCATTCTTTGAGGCGTTTTTAACAACCTAATTTCAGCCTTTTGTGCTGTATTATAAGATATAGTATCGAATGAAAGTAACGGTTACATAGTTGACACCAAAATTAATTATAAATTAATCCTTATTGCTGCAAATGTATTAAAATCATAATATTAGAATCCTTTAGACATAAAATTAATAACAAACCGAATACAAGAACTGACATAATAATATTATTCTTAAAAAAATCTAAAACCAATACAAACATTCAAAAAACTAGAATAAGACATTATATAATATTTTTTCTTAATTTTTTTTTCTATCTACATTACTTACGACATAATTCTTATACTAAAATCACACTGTTCCTAGTATATATTATATTACATAATATATATGTATATATATACGTACTATACTTATTAAATAAAGATACATCTAAAATAATAAGCGTAATTCATCTACATGATCATCCATCCACACAATTGTCATCATTATGGCCTATACTTTTAAAACACTCATTTAAAAAATGCTTCAAAATAAAGAAAATAAAAAATGAGGCCATATTTTTACAAATGTGACCTCAAATTCAGACCATAATAATGATAAGAAATAGAAGATTGAAACACAAAATCACACAACACTACCTCTACATATTAGATATACAATCTAAAAGTTAACAAATACAGTTGTAAACTGTCCCAGTTTAAATCCATTAATTTTTCAATCCATAAATCCAGGCCAAATCCATAAACAAACCGTATCAGTCCTTGAAATTGCCAGGCAACGCCCATAGTAAAGTCCCAGTTCAGAATAAGTCCATAAAGTTTCCAGGCCCAGGCCAAAAAGTCCAAAAAGTATAACAAAATTAGTTCTATGTTCATAAAAAGTTTAAAGAGCGAGGTTTCAAGGCAGTTTTTCTCATGTATTGATGAGCTAACTGCGTGAGGTCCAATTGGTCCTGTGTCATCCCGCAGGCAAATGTTTGCCATTTATATGTGCCCTGTAAATAAAAAAATAACATAAAGATTATGTCATACCTTGCATTATTATCCTGGTAGGAGAGAAAAGAATATTTTTTTTTAAGGAGGGAAAATCATCGAATGACTGCTCCCGCCTAAGTGAAGCAGGAGGGAGTGTCAGACTCTTACTGGTACTGGTACTTACTAATCTCAGGTAATCAAAGTCAAAGCATTTATTTCAAATAAATCCTTAATTAGGTACAAACTTTTGAAACGTGAAAAATTGTTCGTCCGGACGACTGTCAGTGAAGCTAGTCGCTAGACTCCAAAGTATAGTTTCGAGCGGAGAAGAACGAGCAAGAAACTCCAGCGTTACTCTTTTAAAAAAGTTTTTTATAATCTGTTTGAATTACTCTCAATCAAGGCTTTTTGTCACTCATCGGGTCTAATTCTCATTGACATGACTACGAAGTTTCTAAAGCCCCGTCCATACCCTTGGCACACAATGGCAAACACCTACATGTGGATGGGTGTTTGTATGTGTTTGCCTGTTCCTATTTGTGTTCGTCACTGTTCGGGATCGGTGTCGAACAGTGGCGAACATAAACACAGATCAAGGGCTGTTCGGCAAACAGTTTGCGATGTATCCATACGCTTGATCTATACATATGTTCGTGTTTGCTGTGTGCCAAGCGTGTGAACCCGGCATAATAATACTTTAGCTTGACCCTGGTATCGGAACCAGATCTCTTGCACAGAAATTGTATTTAGAACTTGGCAGGCATGAATGTATTAAATTGCATGATTACTCGTAGAACCGAAACTAAGGTCTTATGGTGCATTTTAGAATCTTTAATAGGCATGGCGACTATTTTTTAATTTTTTGTCCGTCTTTTAGATATTTAAAAAATCTTCAATACATATTTTTTCTTTTTTCTCGTATCCAAAAAAACATGTAGATATTTTGAGTTAAAATGACGCGTGACGTCACAATTAGGTACGATTTCTCCGTAAGTGTGACGTCAACACCCCCCACTCCCTAACTTTAATGCGGAATAACTACGTATTCTTCTGTTAATTTGATAAAACAAAAAATACGTGTCTGATATTTTCGTGCGATCTTAATGACGGACTAATTACTTTTTTTATATTATTGTTAGTGAAAATCTATTGATACCTTATTTATTCCCCGGTAATTAAACACTAGAGAGACAATTTCTGATTCCTAGACAAATAGCATTGAAAGATAATCCAACGTAACCTATAATAACAGAATTGTTTACTGACTTTCCATTTAATTCATTATTATCACTAAGGGCTACATTTCACCGAGTCACCATGGCCGCGTAACCAATCGGCGCCACCAACAAAATGTATACAGCTCTATAAAGCGTTACTTACCTGGTGTCTGCATGGTTGCACAACTAATTTGACTGCGCGACCAGTTCGGATGCCAGCACAGAATGTTACTGATCCCTCATCCACACTGGTCGTCGCGCTACCACTAATTACTGTAGCGCTGTATAATATGTTACTCACTCAGCCGCCAGTTCGACCGGCACGGAGGTGTTACGCTGCTACCAATATAATTCAGAAATTGGTTGCGCAATCAAACCGACACCAGGTGAGTAACTCTCTATAGAACTGCATCGTTCTTAGTGGCGGCGGGTGGTTGCGTTGCCATGGTGTCCCGGTGAAATGTAGCCCTTAGACTAGTGTTAATTATTACTAAATAAATAAAAATAAAATACTAACCACAATGAAAGGAGATTGGTTCTTGTCATCGTTGACTTCGACGGGCTCTTCAAGTCGGTCGAATTTGATGGAGCGGACGGCGGACTTCTTCACAACTATGGGCTCGTTACCCCTTGTAATCTATAGGGGAGATAATTTGAAGGGGATATTGTATGAATTCTTTATTACATTTTGTATTTTATCTAGTTGAGAATAAGACATAGAATTGTGTTGTAGTTGTAAAGTTAACCTTGTGAATAAGAAAGTAGAGCAATTAAATTCAATAAAAATACTAAAGTTTAACTCAGTTCTGTATGGATTTGACATTGATTTGATGTTTCTATGTATTGAAATGTTCTATCATAATCTGTGCATCAAAATGATGTATAAACAATAAAATAACATAAAATGACGCCTTTTATCCCCGAAGGAATAGGCAGAGGTGCACATTACGGCACTTAATGCCACTGTACAATAAACTACTTTTCACTATTTATGTGATGAGTCCCATGTAATAGGGGGTGAGCCCTATTGCCATATACCGGGCACAATTCCAGACTCCGTACTACAACTGAGAATATTTAAAAAAAACCCACTAATACTTTGCCCGACCCAGGAATCGAACCCGAGACCCCTTGCCCGGCAGTTGCACTTACGACCACTCGGCCATGTATGTATAAACAATATAAATATTTAAAAATGCATCTGACCAAAATCTACAACAAAACAAAAAGAGGGAAATAAAAGAAAAAAAAATCAAAAAAGTAAAATGTACAAAATACATTTATTGAAATAAAAAATGACATCGGATCTCTTTTGGATTGGATTGGAATACAAACAATATTGACAGAGACACTAAACTACTCTACTATATAAAAAAAAGAAAAAACACATCGAAATACAAAAAAAAATGTTGCCATAATACAAAAAAACTACAGCTACAGAATAAATTAAAACATTCTTTTTAAAACATAAATAGTAACAAAAAACAATTTCTATAACAAGATATAAATAAATAAGTATTTTTTATGAAGATTCAACACTGGCCTGTCAATATTGTGGTAGGAAAGGATTGGTAGGAAAGTCATACAAAATGGTAGGAATGGGTAGAAAGGTAATGTCATTTGTTTATTTCAAATAAAGTACTCTTAAGTAGCTGCCGATATAAAAATGTTACAAAAATTTAACAAAAAAATGTGTCTTTTATATAAATACAATTCCACAACCTATGCGACAGCGTTAAAGTCGAAATTCGAATGACAATTAAATTAAATTGTTAATATTTTAAAGGCAAAAATACAAAGCGAAAATACTATAATTAATAGAATTTCTAAATAAATAAATACAGGGATGGGAAAGGTGTCTATTAGGGTCGTTAGTAGATGGAAAGAAAACGCGCCCTTTCTATACAACCTTAAGGTCGATTTTTCAACGAATTTCGTGCGCACGTAAAACATGTTTACTCTTCTTCGATATTGGAACGTAACGATTGCTAAATACTGTTGAAAACACGATTTATTTTGTACTCATTTGTTTTTTGTCACTACGAACAAGATTATGTTTAACCTAAACAAATTAATACTTCGAAATTATTACAACTAGTAACACTTAAATAATTTGGTGCATGGTAAACTTGAGGTATACTTTTGACGTTTCCTACAACTATACTTTTTTTAACTAGAGAAATTAAGGAATATATTAAATTAATAGATAATATTAATAATAGCAAAAAAAAAACGAATAGTTCATTTGATGAAAACCTCATCTTTGGTACCTTATTTCTAATACCGTTTAACGTTTACATTAGTTTGGTGCGAATACTAACTAAAAGATTCGAAAATAATCTAAAAAATAAAATTAGTAAAATTTACAACCGACAATCGCTTACACGATAATAAGATACGAATATTCGATTCGACGAATATCGAAAACATTCGATTTAGATCCCGATTTTGTCATGATTAATTTATTAGTCAAAGAGTTAATTATTTAGTCGATTTTAATTAACGATTTCCGTTTTAGTTTTTAGTAATAAATCACAATGTTATTTGTGTTAATTTTATTATATTAGTTTAGTCGTTTAGTTTATGATTAGTTTTTAATTTTAAGTGGGTTACTAAAGGGGATATAATTTTTGTGACTGTAAAATATAACAATATATATTTTTCAGAAAAATGTCGAATAAAGGGTTATAATAATTATAAAAGCCGTGCCTATATACATAAACTATATTCCCTAAAGAGATCGTGACCGATCAATACTTCTATACTTCTGTCTATAAGACATTATAGTCGAGTTAAACGTGTTAGTCGATTTATTTAAAATGTAACCCACATTTTAAATTAATTAGAACCGTTAATGTTATGACTTAGTTAAGCGTGTCTTTTACTTATAATTACTATTATTCACAGTCCGTTGTTAATTCTTGTGATATTTTGTTAGAAGATTTTATTTTAATCGATAAAACTTATGTCCGAATACAATGTTTAGTCGATTTTTTGAAATTGAAAACCGATTATAGTTCAGGCAAAAAAAGGAAATATGATCAAAGAGATCAATGGATTTGACCAATAGAAATATTACAGAAATCGATATTATTATCGAATAAAATGTAAAAAATCGACTAACAAACCATCACAAGACATACCTAATTCAATAAGCGTAATCCCGACCTACATATTAGCGAACATATAATAATCATTACTAAACACATCGTCCGTCTGTCCAGTATCTTTATCCACAGTCCACCACTGATTCTCTTTCTGCGCATAATCATTTTTATTCATTATCTTATTGGTTAAAATCTCATCTATACGTGACGTAGACGGCTTCTGATTGGTTACTTTATAAATGTGGTCAGCTAAGGCGTTAGCTAAGACCTGTTTAGGCGCAATAAGGGTGTCGCAAGCTAATTCGTTCCCCGTAGTAATAGTTCGAAGTCTATCAGCGTTTAATCTAGAGAAGCTAGGGTTGTCTAAATTAGTGATGTCTTTAAACGGAGTCATTTCATATTCTGGGTAAATGATATCAGTAGGGCCTAAGGTGTTAGGTTCAGGATTAGTAAGGAGTATAGACCTGTGTTGTACCTTAGTTTTCTCAGTGATGACGGCTTCGATATCAATGTCTTCGTATTTGCTTGTGTCGGGCGTGTTTTCTGCGCTTATGAGGGAGTGTAGGCTTGTAGATTCTTCTAGTAGAGAATGCTTGACGATTGACGGTGGTGAGAACATTACTGAGCTATCTCCGGCTAAGGTTTTGCTCTGAAACAATTTAAATAAGTTTTTTTAGTTTTCAGTTTGATGTTGAGACTTGGTTTTGATTTTGCTTGCTTGATTTTTAGCCTATAATAGTGAGACTACCTCATTGGCCGCGCAAGGGGTCTCGGGTTCGATTCCCGGGTCGGGCAAAGTATTACTGTGTTAATTAAATAATTCTCAGTAGTAGCACGGAGTCTGGAATTGTGCTCGATATATGTCAATAGGCTCACCCCCTATTACATGGGACTCATAACATAAATAGTGAAAAGTGGGTGTTACATTGTACAGTGGCATTAAGTGCCGTAATGTGCACCTCTGTCTACTTCTTCAGGGATATAAGTTATGTATGTTTGTATCATAGATACTCACAGGAGTCTCGATGTAAGAGACATCAGGTACGAGTGTAGGAGTATGTTCCCGGGCGTGCGGCGTGCTAGTGAGCGCGGCCCAGGCCGGGGCCAGCGCCTTGCGCGCCTTCTTGTGCCCGGGGACGTTCTCCTTGCCTGACTCATTACCTCGCTTCAGGCTGCCTATGCCGGAGTCATTTATCTGGTGAAGAAGAGGTTTGTTAGTAAAGGCTATGTATTGTTTTCTTTATAATCATGTCCATAGGTTAAAACAAAATCATCTCTATAACTTAAGAGAAAAATTGTTTTCTTTTAACCTATGGAGTTTCTTGTTCGTTCTTCTCCATAGGAATCTACACCTTGGAATGAGCAAATAGCTACACTTTTAAATTTCTATTGCTGACGTTCAAAAGTGCCTTCCTGGTCTATATTAAATAAATGATATTGACTTTGACTTATATATAGTTAAATGAAAAAAAATTTTATCTTGTGTAAACACATAAATAATAACTATGATAAAAATAGTTAGTCTGTGTCATGTATGACAGAAGTTTAGTAATGTCATAAATTTGTACTACCTTAAATGTCTTCTTGCCTATTTTAATGTATAAAAAACTATGAATTCTGACAACGTAAAATAATCGTTGAGTAAATGTGTTGTTTACAATTGTGTGAGTTATAACAACAAATTCTACTAATAGGTCGGGCAATACATTGGTAACTTGTGTTGTAAATGTCCATTAGCGATACATATGGGTTATCCATCAACTTAATTCACCAATTGGGTACTTGACAACTAATCAAATCCAATACTTTTTCGGACTGTCAAAAACGACAATTTTCTATGAATTTTGTACGAGATAGTGTATTGTGACGTCACGTTTTTTTAGCGTCAAACAGCATATTTAATTCTTAAAAATTCACTGGAAAAATACTAAAATTAAGTTGGTCATAAAATCAATTAATGAAAGTGTGATTATTTTTTTAATATTTTATTGTATTGAACAGTCGAAATAATTTATTTTTGATTAAGAAAAGTACCCAATTTCTGATGGAACATAGAAATCCTTTAAAACTAGCCAAATACTTCTTGGAAAGTTCAAATTTCTCACCTGCACATTCCCATTCTCCTGATCAGCGGCAGTGGACAATAGAGAATCGTTCAACTGGACAGTGCTATCGGAGTTTTCTCTCTTCATCATCATGGTGATATCTTCGACTAGTAGTCCAGGGCTCGATGGTTCATACTTCAGACCTGATTTCTTGCCCAGTTCCGCCATAGCGATCTTGAAGGGCGTTGGAGTTCTGTGAAGTGATTTTGAAAGATTAGTTCAGATTTTTCGTCTTTCTCGTTGGGCGAGTGGTTGCAAGTGCGACTGCCGGGCAAGAGGTCTCGGGTTCGATTCCCGAGTCGGGCAAAGCATCACTGGGTTTTTCAAAAATTCTCAGTAGTCGGTATCTAGAATTGTGCCCGGTATATGGCAATACGCTCACCCCCTATTACATGGGACTCATAACATAAATAGTGAAAAGTGGGTGTAACATTGAACAGTAGTATTAGGAGCCGTAATGTGCACCTCTGCTAACTCCTTCTGTGATAAAAGACGTGATGTTATGTACAAAATTAAATGAAATCGAGCTTAAGCTTAGCAATACAGATTTTGGAAAGAGTTATTGACATAAGGTTACATAACTTACTTAGGTGTATTACTCTTCACAGGATTGGGTCCTCCAGGCGTTACGTGGTTGACTGGCGTAGGGGTCTGAAGTAGAGGACTCGCACTCCACTCCTGAAAGCAAATACCATCGTCTATTTAGAACTAGCTACTTCCGCGCGGTTTCACACGCTCTGCTCAGCTCCTATTGGTCGTAACGTAATGTTTTATAGCCTATAGCCATCCTCGATAAATGCGCTATACAACACAAAAAGAATTATTCAAATCAGACTTGTAGTTACGGAGATTAGCGCGTTCAAACAAAAAATAACTCTTCCGCTTTTTATAATAGTATTAGATTTTGGATAAATTTGACAGCAGAAGTATAAATTACACGTCGAATGTCATTCGGAACAACATATTTATGGGCTTATGCTAGAAGAGGATTTGCCCTGAACAGTTTTCTGTCGATAGCAAAAGCCTTGTGGTGGAAAATAACTCAACGGTTCAAGCTAATCCAATTTATTTAATGGGTTTGTCCCTTTGTAATAAGGTTTAAAATCTGATGTCCAACAATATGATAGCGTATCTTACCTTGGCAGCATGTCGCAGCGGCGTAGAGTTAGCATCTATAGTGGAGAACGATATTCCGGCGGGGGAGTTGAGGAACTGGGACGGACTGAACGGCAGCGCCTTTATTGGAGTCACGCCTGATTCACGGTACTCCAGCGCTTTGGTTAACGTGTCTGTCCATGCCTAGAAATTGGAATTAGGTTCTTATATTAGAGTCGATATTAAATATGAAGTTATAATACGTAATTTAACTATTACTCGGCTCCGGAAGTCTCGGAAATCGGCTCCTATTTTTTATATTTTTAAATATTATTTTTTATTTTGTAAGTTGTATTCTAAAATATAATTTGTAGACAATTTAAAATAAATATATAGCATTATAATAAGTATCTATATAAATAAAAATGAATTTCCGTTCGTCAGTCTTGTTAAAATCGAGAACGGATGGACCAATTTGGCTAATTTTGGTCTTATAATATTTGTAGAAATCTAGAGAAGGTTTAAAAGTTGTGATAAGAAAAATATTCTGCAGCGGAACAGTTTGTCGGGTCGACTAGTAAGATATAAAATAACAAATACTATATTTACCAACGACATAAATACATACGTATTTTTTTAAGGGTGGAAAATCATCGAATGACTATTCTCGCCTGGGTGAGGCGGGAGGGAGTGTCAGACTCTTACTGACTAAAAACCACCCCGTTCCTTCTCCTGCACGTCGAGCCGGAGCCCCGGTTACCCGTTAGGTTCTCCGTGACACACGTATTATATATACGGAACACAGTATAACTCATAAAAATAAACTAAAAACCATTGATACAATACTTAAACTCACATTAGCGTTGTGGGAAGTAACGACGGGTAGCTTCTTAGTCTTTCGCCTCAGTATGGGAGGCGGACTGCTAGTCTCGCCTCCTTTCTTACGAGGCGACGTGTACATTGCTGAGGGAACCTCTATCTCTTTGCTCGCTTCTGCTTGTACAGCGTAGGTAACTGTTAAAAAGAAATAATGTTAATAATTTCTTAAAGGGTGATCTTCAAGGCGCGAGTGAAGAGGTTGCTTATGGGACGACGTGCTCCATCCTAGACCGCATCATCGCTTAGCACCAGGCGAGTGATCAAACGTCTGCCCATCAAATAAAATTTATTTTGGTAGAAAGCAGTTTGAATTGAAATGCTCGAAGTTGTGAATTGCTGCTTCTGACCATAAGCCTTTAGCGTGACTTGGCACTAGTTGCGGTATCTCGTGAAATAATTAGAGAAAGTCTGGTGACAAATACTTACCAGTATCTTGGTTGTTCTCAGTGGTAGCTGAGGCTGATGATAGATAGTTTCTGAGCGGTGAGTCTGTTGGTAGTGTTTCTATGTTTACGAATCTGAAATTAATAAGTTTAACATTAGTCTCATATGTTTGTAGTCCAGAAAATGGCTAATGAAAAATGTAACTTGAGTTTTAGCACTAATATTATAAGGTTCAATATAAAAAAGTGCATATAACAAACATTATTTACTATTATAAAACTAATATTTTGAAGAATATGTTGTTAAAAGTCTCAGTAGTAGCACGGAGTCTGGAATTGTGCCCGATATATGGCAATAGGCTCACACCTTATCACATGGGACTCATAACATAAACAGTGAAATGTGGGTGTTACATTGTACAGTGGCATTAAGTGCGGTAATGTGCACCTCTGCCGACCCTTTCAGGGATAAAAGGCGTGATTTTATATTTATATATATTTTGTTGAGTAATCACTAGCGAGGACTTTCTGGACCGTCCACTTTGTTTCAATTTCCTTCGTTTTTAATTTCGTATATCGTATTTCGTAATCCTCTGTCTTGAACCATCGACTTGTGCTTAATAAGAAGCTAATATGAAATAAAAATTAATATATTTTACGAACAAATTACAGAAATACTTACTTAAAAGGCGTGTCAACGATTTCCATTTCATCTGCAGCGACCAGCCCTCCTCTATCAGGCGATTTCGGTATGGCTTGGTGTTGCAAATTATTTAGTTGATCTTTGAGCAACTGACGGAAATGTAGGACATGTTTCGAAGGAGGCTGGCTTGTATTCGACGAATTGCTTTGGGCTGATTCGTTGAAGGGATCCGACCAGGATTGCTGTGAAGAAGAAATTGGGTCGTTTGTTGTGAATTGAAGTTGGTTTTTGGAGGTAAAAGAGTGTAGGTATATATGTATTTATCTTGGAGAGTTCTTACGTATCTTGGTATATTATAGTTTTGGTGTACAGTCATATTTATTTTTGTAAAGTTTTACTGCAATTTCATCTTAAGTAATTATATAATAAAATCACAACCCTCCTTTTGGCTTCGCTGTAGTCAGGTATGGGTAGCAAATATTCTTGAATTCTGAATAAAGTAGGTTTAAAACTAATAACACTGATTTGAAATTTATTTTTTTCTGTACTCAAGATCTTTAAAAGGGCCGATTTTTCAATCATCAGTTAAATCTTAACTGTAGAATAAAATAACATTTGACAGTTTTCATTATGGAAGAATTGTCAAATATTCCTCAGCTAAATTAATTTATCTGACGTTGGAAAAATCTACCGTAAATCAAATATCTTTAATTTTTTATTAGGAATTTGGTTATCTATGCTTAACCTCTCGCGTGTTTCTCGTACACACGGGTGTACGAGAGAGTTGAGTGCCCATCGCGCAATTGTACACACGGGTGTACGAGAAACGCGCACCGATCGGATATTTTTTCTGTGACGTATATTTTCAAGTTTGTAACCCGTTGTTTATTTGATTGAACAGAATAGTTAATTCGTTTTTTTATTAAAATATTTACCCGTGTGTATGAGAAGCGCGCGAGAGGTTAAATGTCGTACCGTCATCCTTCAATGTACGACGTTTAGGAACTTGAACTAAAATCTTGATAATATAACGACACAGTTAGCCACATAAACACATCCACAAAAACACAAATTTAGTTACAAATTACCACAAAAACTACGGTGCATTTTAAAATATTTACACTCGAATACAAAGCGACTCAATTTTAACTTATACCTAAACATCGTGCCATCTCTGTCATTTTACAAAGAAATTGTAGAGATAGAACTATACTTAGGCACTACTTAAAATTGAGTAGCGTTTGAGTATTTTAGCGTAACAGTGACACAACGTAAATAGCGTCTACAGAAGCCAAAGCACACCAGCGTAAAATGAGGACCATAAAGAAACAAATCATGAATGGAGTGTTGTTATGAACGTGATATCGTTTATGATGAAAATAAATAATAGGGCAAATTAATGTTAAACGTATTGTAATGTATGCGCTGACCACGATTTTCTTTAGATGGCGAATCGCCATATATATACACTATTAGTCACATAACATCACGTCTTTTTAGGGGTAGGCAGAGGTGCACATTTCGGCACTTAATGCCACTGTACTGGGTTGAATTTACGGGTCGTGCAAAGTATTACTGGGTTTTTAAAAATCTCAGTAGTAGCACGGAGTCTGGAATTGTGCCTGGTTTATGGCAATAGGCTCACCCCTTATTACATGGGGCTCATAGCATAAATAGTGAAAAGTGGGTGTTACATTGTACCTATTTGTCATGGCTTCTATTTTCCGAAAGGATTATCCTTTCTATTAGAGATTATTCTCTATTAGAGAAAGGTATGATATGATATTAGGTGAAAACCACTTGTCATTTTATTTTGTTATGAGCCCCATGTAATAAGGGATGAATCTATTGCCGTATAAAGGGTACAATACCAACCTCCGTGCTGTTTATTACGAGAACTTTCCAGCAATAGAAAAAACTCAAAATTAGTACTTTGCTTGATACCGGTAATCAACCTCGGTAAGATACATTGTTCGGCAGCATGATAATCGGGTACTTGCCTTAATCAAAAATAAATTATTTCGACTGTTCAATACAATAAAATATTAAAAAATAATCACACTTTCATTAATTGATTTTATGACCAACTTAATTTTGGTATTTTATTAGTAAATTTTTAACAAAATTAAATAACTATGCTGTTTGACGCTAAAAAAGCGTGACGTCACAATACACAATCTCGTACAAAATTCATAGAAAACTGTCGTTTTTGACAGTTTGAAAAAGCTATTGAATTTGACTAGTTGGCAAGTACTCAATTGTTTGGGAATTTGGACAAGTATTGTTAATAGTTTTATCATTGGTCAGCAAATACATTACAATAAAAATATGGCAATGGTTTACTTTGTATATTGCCATATTTTACCTATTTAATGTCAAATTGGTTGGTTACACTCATAATATTGTCATTGTTGTGGGAAACCACACAATAGCGTATTGTATACACCGCGAAATGTATATCGTTTTCGTCCCGAAGTAAAATGGCTCTGTCTTGGTAACACAATAGTTTCATAAAGAAATAAAAAAAATATTTTAATTTGTTATATACAGAATGAAGTAAGCAAAAATATGCTTTAGTATTTCGCAGTAGAGACTTATTTGGAATAACCATGATGTGGTTTCAGGCTTTTTTTGTGGGGAAAATCATCGAATGAGTTTTCCCGCCTGGGTGAGACGAGAGAGTGTCAGACTCTTACTGACTAAAAACCACCCCGTTCCTACTCCTGCACTTCGAGCCGGAGCCCTGGTAACTTTTTACTCAGAGTATTTTTATTTTATTTTACCAACCAATTTGAAAGGAATCATGTGTGACATAAGAACATAATAATTATTGAACTTCGTAAAATAATACAGAATCACGATATTAATTCCTTGAAGGGGTCATTGCCCTAGCTATATGTAGATTGTTAGAGCAATGAATAATTTTGTTTGATTTAAAAACTTCCCTTGTAAGTAGGATCCATAACAACAACGTTATTTTATTCAGAAAATTCACAAAAATAACATTACACCTAACGCCATTAAGTTATATTAATCTTAATGCTATGTTTTTATAATTACTATCGCGAGACATACTAAATTAACTAAAAATCGCAAGCTCTACTAGTTTCGAACCACAGAGGGGTTCTTCCTCGTGAACAGCGGAACAGCGTGCGCGGTCGCAGCGATGTCGCGCAGCTTACAATAGGTAGTAGGGTATTTTCACGCTAGTAACCCGCGATTTTTAATCTATCTATCTATATAGCTATCTCCTAAAATATGTTTGTCATGTCACACACCATCCCGAAAAAGAATTAAAGAAAAAAACATAAAAAGCAGCAAACTAACATCGTTATACGCGACTTGCACCTTCTCTTGCATAATATTAGAGTCGGTTAGTTCCCGCGGCTTTACCCGCGGCTGTTTCCGACGGAGCGTCTCAAAACTGTCCAGCAGATCCGGCTCGTATTTCCTCCTCATCGTGGAGTTCCAATGGTTCTTTATTGCGTTGTCGGTCCTGGAATTATTAGTTTGGAGTTAGTTTTAGGAAATTCATTCATAAAGGCATTACACAACATTCTACCAATTATGGTCTTTGCATACATTTTTAGCTTTTTTTTATGGCATAAGCCGGTAAACGAGCAGACGGATCACCTAGTAAGCAATCGGCGTCGCCCATGGACACCTGGAACACCAGACAACAAGTGCGTTACCGGCCTTTTGGGGATTAGGATTTTGAGGATCGTTGGGGATTCAGGAATTAGGGAGATTGGGAAAGGGGAGGGTAATTGGGCATCCGGTAACCTCACTCACACGACGAAACACAACGCAAGAGTTGTTTCACGTCGGTTTTCTATGAGGCCGTGGTATCACTCCGGTCGAGCCGGCCCATTCGTGCCGAAGCATGGCTCGTGTGTTCGCTCAAGTTAAGTGTACAGTGTACAGTTAAGTGTACAATAAGATATATTTCCTTACCTGCCGGGTAATAGTTTCGCTATCTTGGCCCATTGGTTCCCTAACTGTTTGTGTGCTTGGTATATGACTCGGTCTTCGTGTTCTGTCCATGCAGTCTTCTTTATAGACGGGTTTAGGTGGTTGTGCCATCGTTCTCTGGAAGTCGAGAGAGAAATATTTAGTACTAGCGACACGCTCCGGCTTCGCACGGGTGCAATATGCATGTATTATACATATAAACCTTCCTAAGTATCACTCTATCTATTAAAGAAAACCGCATCAAAATCCGTTGCGTAGTTTTAAAGATCTAAGCATACATAGGGACAGACAGACGGCGGACAGCGACTTTGTTTTATACTATGTAGTGAAGATATCATAAATAGGTGCGTATATACATATCTATACTTATTATAATAAATCTGTAGAGAGGTCAATTCTGTACATAAAATATATTTAAAAAATAACTATCAAGGGGTGGTTAGGGATCGCTACTGATGCCAAAAATGCAATCAGTAAAATTTTTGTCTACCATCCAGGTCCAGACCCACAGGTGCTTACAGAGTCTAATGCCTGTTTTTCCAGTAGGTACTTATAAAAACAATTTATAGTGTTTTTAATATTTACCTGCATTGTTTTCCTATCCTTCCTTTTAAATGGCGTGCGATGAGCGTCCATTTCTTCGGCCCATATTTGGCGACCAGTTCCATCACCTTCTCATCTTCCTGTAACAGATAATATTGTATTGATTAGATAAATTCGGTAGAAGCCAGTTAACGAGCAGACGGATCACCTGATGGAAAGCAATTGGCGTCGCCCATGGACACCCGGAACACCAGAGGCGTTACAAGTGCGTTACTTACCTTTAGGGGGTTAGGAATTTGAGGATTATTGGGGTTCGGGGATTGGGGAGATTGGGGAGGGGGTAATTGGGCCTTAGGTAACGTTAGTTAAGTTAAAAAAAGGGATACTTATTGTTAAGTTTTTAAGTGTAGTGCCAATTTCTATGAAGTTTAAAACTTATCTGACGTAATCATTTTAGACAAACATTGAAGCATGTTGATAAAACGATGTCCTTATACTTATTTAAAATTTCGTTCAAATAAAGATTTTGAAGAATTGTACTTAATTGACAAGGTAGTAAAGTTCAGTTTACCTACAAATTCAACTAAGGGAAGGTCTTCTCGACCATTAAACCCTGTACCATTTTCCTGTAATAATCATTTCCACGAAAGAGGATACGACGAGAACTTCTTACTTCATAAGCTGAGCAAATTATTATTTCAACTGTTGAATGGTAAACCACACAAATCGACATCGGACTAACAAAAAACAGACTCATTCTTTAATTCCCACGTCAAGTGGGTACAAGGTACCTAAAAACTTCACACTTCAAACCGATACTTTTCAAAGCAATTGGAAAACAATTACGTATAGGTAGGTGTAGGTACCATCCTTTATAGGACCTCTATAATCAAAAAAAAATATGTGAAAAAACCGACCAAGTACGAGTCGGGCTCGCGCACGAAGAGTTTCGTAACAATCCTTCATTTATTAATTTGAGCAATAAACAGCATTAAAACCAACTTTTATGAATTTATTGTATTTATAGCTGGAACAGAAATACATTATCTTTCCTCAACTATCTAGCTTTCATGGTTAATGAGATATAGCTTTTTTTTAAGGGAGGATAATCATCGAATGACTTCTCCTGCCCGGGTGAGACGGGAGGGAGTGTCAGACTCATACTGACTCATTATCACCTCGTTCCTACTCCCGCAATTCGACCCGGAGCCCCGGCAACCCGTTAAGTCGTCCGCGGCGAGATACAGGCTGGGCAATTAACGATAGACTGATGGACAAGTCTTAGTATTAGAGTTCCTGTTTTTACCCTTTGAGTACAGAACCCTAAAATACAACAAGTCGGTATCTATTGACCATCTGATCGCCGCGTGGCGTGCGAAAATACGTTACGAAGCAAGGTGAACTAGTGTGTGGGCGAAAAAATATGAATAGAGCAACTTCATCAGCTGTTGATTGAGTAATCGGGTATTTTGTGGTGATTAATTGATATTTTGTTTATTTATTTTATAAAAGATAATAAACTATACAAGTGACATCCATACTTTTTACAATAATGTTGCCTTTTTATGCAAGAACTTAAAAAGTTTGTGATGTTTGTTGTTCATTCACGATAAAACTACTGAATAGATTCGAATGCAATTTGGTACAGCAATAGATAATAGTCTAAAGTAACATTATGGGATGGGGAACCTACTTATTAACCCGAGAACGCGGGCGAAGCCGCTAGCAGAAGCTAGTAAGTCTACAAAACACTACCATGTACTCTCACATGCTTCTATATTCTAAAGTTAATAGTTATACGGTTCAATTAGAAAATAATACCTTTAATTGAACTAAAGTACTAACAGTTGATATCTCAATCAAATCAAGAGTCACGAAACGTCAATTTGCGGGCCCTTTCAATTAAAAGAATATCATTTTTTGCTGGTATTGTACACACCTACTTTATAATCGAACATGAAATGATTCTAACAATAGGTGTTAAGCAAAAAGTCGGTTAAAAAAAGGTTAAAATCAAGGTTATGATTGGTCAATTGTTAATTGAAGATGTATTTGGGATAATCTTTGGTTTCTATTACAATAGGTTTAATAATATATTTTTTGTGTAGACTTGTTAGTATTGCTCAATAGTTCTTGGCAACAAAATCAATCTTTGAATCAGTTTTTTCTTTCTTTGCATAGAAAAATATCACTCAATTAGGTATTAAGTACTACTAAGTATTCGTGGGATCTCATTGTCAGAAGAATAAAGACAGGATATTTGATGCTATTTCAACTTCTCACCGCGGAAAGCCCGCAATACTGTGACTGACCACTTTTGGACCGATCGGAACATAGAAAGACAAAGAGAGAGAGAACGGAGAGTACTTCTATATTTTAGACACATTATACTTTGCTGGTAAACTTTGAAAAGCATCATTTAGGGAATGCAGAGGCAATCGAGCAGACAGACACCTGGTGGTGAGCAATCAATGCCTTTCCTACTCCTGTTCTTCGAGCCGGAGCCCCGGCAACCTGTTATATCCTCCGCGGTTCCGCATCAGTACTGCTGGACTGGGAAACATCTGTGGTGGTCTGATAGATCTTTGAGGCGCGCGCGGAACGCGACGCGTAATCTCCGTGCTATCTAGAAAGACTAGCTTGAAGACTAAAAACTAAACCTAACTATATTATTCAAACCGGAATTCTATCCTTATCTCACAGCCGGCCTCAAGTCAATATCTTTGCCCTTGGACTTGGATATTTTTTGTCTGTTTGTCCGCACAAAACGTCTATACAAAGATTCAAAGATGTTTTAGTGCTTATTATTAACTAGAACACATTTTGTTAGTAATTGATGATGTCACTGCTGAATGGGGACAGAGATGAAACTGGGACATGTGTTTTGTTTTATAGTACCTACTTCAGTACATGGCCTATCTAGTTAAATCTAGATGGGATGCCTAAAAATTTATTTTAAGAAATTATTCATAACTAGCTTCTGCCAGCGGCTTCGCCCGAAATCCCAGGGGGAAAATGCCAATGTATTACTTCACACCATACTCTACCTCTGTTCCAAATTTCATTCCGGTCCCTTCAGTCGTTTTAATATGACTGAGTAACAAACATACACAAACACATAAGCTCACATATTTTCACATTTATAATATCGAGTCAAGCTAATTTCAGCCATCGGCCCTACAGTTACAGCGTAAAGTCTATGGATGAGTATTGTAAACGTAAGAGTAAACAAATATAAGCAGAAAGCTCCGAACTGCTAAGCTATCGGGAGTTACACGTGTTATTGTAAGTCAACCATAAAAGATAGACATGTGCTGTTGTGGGATATTATTTAGACAATTTTATGTAGAACATTTCCGTCATACATGATTTCTATGTAGCTTTAACTATTAAGCCTGCACACGCGACGGAAGCTTAAAAAATTCAGTAACTTCTCCCGTTTTCCCAATATTTCCCTTCACTGCTCTGCTCCTATTGATCGTAGCGTAATGAAAAGTATACTATAACCTGCCCAAGAGTATGAAGAATAATTGTGCCAAATTTCATTAAAATCCGTCGAGTAGTTTTTGTTTCCATAACGAACATACAGACAGACAGACAGACAGACAAAAATTTTACTGATTGCATTTTTGGCATCAGTAGCGATCCCTAACCACCCCTTGATAGTTATTTTTTAAATATATTTTATGTACAGAATTGACCTCTCTACAGATTTATTATAAGTATAGATGAACTTAATTATTATGTTTTTCGGCTTACTCACGTAAAGTGAAAACTCTATCATGCAAAGATTGACTTCAGTTGTTCAGATTTAGAATTATTATTTCATATTTATACTTGTATATATATATATATATATAATAATTCAAAAGCATTTAATTCAATTATACCATAATTTAGTACTTTTGAAACGTCAACAAATATAAAATAAATAATAGTCTGTCAGTGAATCTAGGTGCTCGTTACAAAAGTAGATTCGAGTAAAGGACGAGTAAGAAACTCCATTCGTTACATACTCTTTCATGCAATCTAGCTTCTAGATTTATTTGATGACAACATTCGTTCATGACCTAATGTCTAAAACACGCCCATTCAGTATTAGCGTGGGAATATCTAAAATAAAAAATATACCTATATTAGCATATCTATAGTGATTGATCATAAATCATTATATTTCGCGGCCTGTATTTATAGTGTTTTTGTAACTTTTATTAGTAAGTATTTAATCCTACTAATAATAATTATTATAAATGTGCATGTTCGTTACTCATTCACGTCAAAGCGGCTGAAGGGATCGGCATGTGATTTGAAATAGGTCTGGAAACCCATAGGTCACTCTTTATCCCACAGGAACCATGGCAAAACCACGAGTAGAAGCTAATAAATTATAAATGATCATTTATTATGAATAAGAAATAAATTGTTATATTTAACCAATATTTTTTTTTAAATTTTTATTTTACCTACATTATTCACGTGTTTTTACCGACTTCAAAAAAGGAAGAGGTACTATGTTCGGCTGGTTATTTTTCTTTGTTTGTTCGCGCATTACTCCGCGATTTGTGAACCGATTTCCAAAATTCTTGTTTTTATCAATGGCTGCCGAATAAAACGTTATTCACACACTACCTAATTCATTCATTGCTAATGACACAAAATGTAAATCCTATTTATATTTATTATTTAGTAGGCTTTAAATAAAAAAAAAAAATATTCAAATTGTCTAACATCCTTCTCAATGGGTGTCTAAAGCCATAAAAAGTGTGAAAAAGTTCATTTCAAAGAATTACTATTACAATAAAAACCTTTATTGTTTTCTAACTATTGTCCTTCTGACACTTCAAACAAATATCAACCTTGAGTCAACGTGTTAAGGTTTGACTGGAAATTAATTTCTCGTAAGCCAAAAATATTTTCAAACAAAAATCAACCTTGACTCGACGTATTAAGGTTTGATTGTTTTATAACGGGAACATAGTACGTGGGTTTAAAATAATACAATACTAGGTCATAAGTTTAGGGTGTAGTGATAAAATCTGTTAGGTCAATGACCGTAGAACATTTTCGATTGTTGGTGGTCGTTATTGCGTAGTACATTATATTGCAATATCAAACTTTGAATAGAGAATAAATTCATAGTTGATATACATGGTGTTATATAATGATCCTTCAGCCAACGAAAATGAACAAGTTTTAGTAGAACCCAGTAATGCTGAGTTCTGCGTTTAATTAATAACACCTTGTATAAAAGGAGACTATAAGTTAAAGAAGGACCTTACTAAACATCTAATCTAATGATTATTCTAAAGTGAACTTTAAACTCAACTGTTTAAAGTTTATAATTCTTTGCAAAAGATTCACAAGGAAGGAAGACAAGAATTGAATAGTACGGAACCTCGTTAAACCTCGATTAAAATACTTAGCAAACTTATCTACATCTTATTTTAAAATAGACTTTAACGACTCCTATTATAAAGTTCATATTTATTTTTTTCTTATACATTGGGAAACTACAAAGACATAGATTTAGCCGGCTGAACAAGCAAATCGATGACGCTGTAAGTATAGAATAAATAAACATAACATAACATCACGCCTTTTATCCCCGAAGTGGTAGGCAGAGGTGAACATATGCCACTGTATGTACTTACAATGTAACACCCACTTTTCACTATTTACGAGTCCCATGTAATAGGGGGTGAGCCTATTGCCATATACCGGGCACAATTCCAGACTCCGTGCTACCACTGAGATCCATTGCCCAGCAGTCGCACTTGCGACCACTCGGCCAACGAGGCAGTAGAATAAATAAAATAAACATAATATACAATTCCATATAGATGCATTAGTATTCATACATCGTACATAAGTATGTATAAAACAATGGAATCATTCATAAAATCTAAGAATTTGTATCGTAAGCTACTATAGAGTTGTTAGTTTTATAGGTTTTATATGCGTGCTCGATTTTAGGATAACAAAGAACCCCTTTGTGATTGGTTAGATAATTTAAATTGTTTCGTGTGTGTTTCGACTCAATTATAAGGTCACTTTGTCTGCTATCTTTATAAGATTCATCTATAATTTAAAAAATTACGTCCAATTAGAATATTCTATCGACTTATGTCAGAAATGCCATTGAAACAGTAATAGGGAAAGAGAGGTAAGACATAACTAAGAATGAGAAGCTGTTGCTGAGTATTTTTTTAATAATCTTGACTTAACGTATAATATTACAACTTGCAGAATGGTAACAAGTCGCAATTCCTTTAAATTTAAATTCCGTGAGCATTTACTTAAGCATTGGCAGACTCAAATCAATTGAGGAAACTATTTTGATAAAGTTTTTTTTATAATATACTAGCTTTTACCCGCGGCTTCGCTCGCGTCATAAAAGGATAAAAAGTAGCCTATGTGACATATTCCAACACACACAGCGCCATCTATACCAATAATTTTGTTTTCCCTCGGGAATATCAATTTTTTCGGAATAAAAAGTACCCTATTATTCAATCCGGACTTCTAACTTTACGTCTGCAAAAATTCAAAGCAATCGGTTTAGTAGTTACGGCGTGAAAGCGGAACAAACAAACAAACAAACTCACTTTCCGATTTATAATATTATATAGTAAGGATTGTAGTACTAGCGAACCCAACAGCCCTGTATATCTACTTAAATGTATAAACAAAATTTCATTCAAATTAGTTCAGCTGTTTAGGATAAATAACCTAAACATCGACTGCAGCGCCATCTGCCGGGCTGATTTGTGAATCTAAACCATTCGCAGATCACCTTGAACACACACAAAAATTTTCATCTAAATCGGTCCAATCGTTTGAGAGAAGTTCAGTGACATACACACTAACAGAAGAATTATATACATAAAGATTTTTTTATTTAACATATTGTATTATTTATCATCATCATCAACAGCCTATAAATGCCTACTACTGAGCAAAGCCTTCCATCTCTTCTCCAGTACTTCTCCAATGAAAACAATACATTTCTCCAAACACCATGACACAAGAAGACATGGGAACATCTAATTATGCACATTCTATGCGCGCATGCGTGCAGTATCAACGACCGGTGACTCAACGCCGCTTCCTCGCAATGATAGACTGATTGGCGAGAATTGTTCGACACTAAGATACGTGCGTTTATTTTTATGTACTGTGTACTGGACACCTGATCCGAAGGGCTGATCAGAGCAAAAATCTACGAATTTGCTGTTCAATTTTTTTTTTGTGGAATAGGACGCAAGCGAGCAGACGGTTCACCTGATGGTAAGCGATCAGCGTCGCCCATGGACACGCGCAACACCAGAGAAGTCACAGGTGCGTTGCCGGCCTTTTAAACTGTCACACACCAAGCGGTCACCGGTGACCACAACCTATTGTTCTATAATTGTGTCTACAAAACCGGTACTCGACGAGTTAAAAAGGAATACTCTCTTTTCTTGAAGGTGTCAATCTCTTAACAAGAACTTTGGTAGCTGGTTGAGAAGAAAGAAGAATGTATGATTGAGGAACCGAAAAAAAAAAACGTTTTGCAAAAGTCAGTATACAATATTTGATGAAGCTTCTTTCTCTGGTTAAGTCCTATTATGATTTTGGATTGTCATCATTTATAATGAAGTCCACATTTTATAACTAGCTGTTGCATGTGCCCTCGTCAGCGTAGAATATGAATTTTAGGACATTCTGCTTCTATTTTCCAAAATAAAAGTAGCCTATGTTACTCCTTAGTACATCAGCTACCTGCCAGTAAAAGTCCAAACAGACAGAGGCAAAATTAAAAAACAGAGATATTTTGGTATATGTGTCGAATGCATGTAGCGGTAATTTCAATATTACGCCATTATTTTAATTTATAGATTAACTGCTATATGCTATCCGGAATAAATGAACGCCCCAAAAATTTGAGGAACCCGTCAATATTTTGCTATCTGAAACACAGAAGAGTCTCAGAGAGAGTATTTTAACCGGATCCTCAAAATACTGTAAGAAACGTCTGCATAGCCCGAAAATTAGCCACATTTTCTCAACAGAACTGACCATCTAAGTACAAAAAATCCTACCCATCCTTTTAACCATCAACCATCTCACGAATAGCCTTAAACCAGCTCAATTACCTGCCATTTCTTATACGTATTACACTACCTATATTTTAATAATCTCGCGGTTGAACAACAACGCTTTGTGGTCTGTACATGGACGGAAGCCATTTAACAGCAATTTGCTCCTCATGAGAGCTTGTTAAGACTTCGTACAAACATTATAGTAAATCATAGTCTTTGGTGAAGTATTTCTGGTTTAAAAAGAGCGAGGGTTTTCAAAGAAGTCTGCATAAAGGAGGATGTGCTTAGAAATTTTCTTTTCAACTGTATTTTGGTGATTTGAATTTGGAAAAGGTCGTCACATGAAAGGTTGATAGTGATATCTATAATTTCATTTGACGAAGCTGAACATTTTTTAAATTCATGTTCTAGGGTAGTAGCTGTAAGCTGCATTGATGCCTTTATTCCATGAAGAAATAGATACGGAAGCACAATACTTTTACAATTCAATGAATCATAAAAGTCTTTTACAGTGGATCTTTTCGCTAGCGGTAGTGTCGATTTTGGTGTGTCAAAGTCAAGTGAATTTGCGAGTGAATATTCTACAAGCCATATTGTAAGATTGTAACGTAGTCATAGAATATTATGACCATTGTAACATATGTTTTGTGAAAACAATATAACATAAATTATGACGCAACCACGTTCAATAAACTCTCAGCCATTTGTTCTAACCGCAGTAGGATGCGCCACATTCAGAATGTATTACCACCTTATTGAATATCTATATCTATTTTAAACCTTATGTTTGAGAAGATTGGTTCCATTTTAGTGTACTCGTACTAAGAAAATAATAGTATAAATAGTAGATATAGGTATTATTATTTATTTCGTATCGTTCGAAGATATTTGTCAAAGAAAGTTCTATTCTTAATGTGTTTATGTAGTCCTAGGACACTTCGTGAGATATTGTTGAAAACTTCTTTCTTAGATGACAAAAACGAGATGTACCTACTTCTACCTTTTTTCAAATTAAATGTTACTGGACCTCGCGAAATTTTAAAGGAATGGTGTGTAGAACCGTAGGCAAACGAGCTGAGAGATAACCTGATGGTAAGCGAGCAGCACTGCCCGAGGATACCGGTAACACCAGAGGCAATCAGAAATGTGTTGCAAGCCTTTTGCGGATAAGGGATATTAGAAATGTGGGGAAAGATTGAACGTCCGGTAATCTCACTCACACAACGCGAGTATTGTACAACTCCAGAATATTGTGAGCTACAAAAATTACATAGTTTCAAAATAACTTACCTCTTTCGTCCAAGGGCCTTTGACTAGTTCAGGGTTGACGACTTTGGTCCACCGCTGTTGGCACTGGACGTCCGACCTGTCAGCAAACTGCGCCGATATCAGGTCCCAGTTTTCATTGTATATATTTACGCATGCTTTTAGCTTTTTGTCCTGAAATTAGAGATGGAGGAAATAAGTAAACAGAATACGAAGGAAGAATTTGAGAAGACGATGAGTAGATTAGATAAAGCATGGGACATGCTCCTTCTGTATGATATCCTGCGGGCTGGGATAAACAGCAGTGATCTCTTGTCATGCGTTGAATTCTGCACGCACAGGTCTCGAACAAGACATACTCACTTGCTTAGTATACCCTCACATCGTACGAATTATGGGAAAAATGCTGTTATGACTCGACTACCTCACATTTACACAGAGAAGTTTCAGAGTGTGGATATATTTAATTTGTCAAAGGTATCCTTTCGTAAGTCGCTTATACAAATACTCTTGTATACTTATACAAGTACTCTTGCGTGACTCTTATAACATTATTATTTTTCTTAATTATTGCTTGATAAAAATATTCCTTGATTGTTTAATTTTATTTTATATTGCTCACTCTCCTACTTTTACCTGACGCATGCTGAAAAACTCTGTTATTGGCTTAAGTTTCCATGCCTTGTCATTATTATAGATGTAGCATTTACTAAATAAGCTGTTGAGTTCTCTGTAATAAAAAAAAGCAGGTATTTCTTTTATGAATTTACTGTCAGTCGACCTTGAGGTGAAGCACTGTGCAACTGCGTACAATGCGAGACCTAACTTTTCCGCTAGCTTTCATGAACGTGATCGAAACAAGCTAGTTGTTTAAGCCACTCATTCGTCTTCTTTATTTGATAATGGCTTTAGGAATGGTGTAGTATTACAACATTGTCCTCACCTCCTCCTTTGTCCACCTTCCCCTATTAATATTCTTCCGCGGCCCAGAGCTTTTGGTTGCAGCCTGGACATCCTCGTAGGCCGCCGCTGAATCCTCTGAATATTCGCTCGTCTCTGAATCATAGCCGCTACGTCTGTTGAAGAAAATTAAACTTTAATGAATGTTGAATATGTCTTGTATTACGTTGATAGTGTAAAAAAATGAGAAATTATGAACTTTAAAACGATTACATAAGAGTTTAAAACAGGTTGCCGTTTAAACAATCTTTAGAGCTTTATAGTGGCTTCATATTACGTTATAGGATAATGTGCGCTATGACAAGCTCCGTACGATCTAAGATAAATTATCAGATATGTTGACTTAATGATTTTGTTACAGGCACTTTAGATATGAGGGTAATTAACAGATAATTAAGCTGTGTACTTTGTAAACAAGTCGTAGACACTTAAAGTTTTATCTATGAGCTTCTTATAGTGAGCATAAAATGCTTAAGATGTTCAAATAACTTAGTATATTTTATTATCCTACCGATATCATAAATGGACTTATACTGTACCATACTTAAAATAAAGTGTTAATACTGGCACGGAATCTGGGTAAGGATAAAACCCTAACTTATTCTATATGTCTAAAATTAACTGCCTAGTTTAATCAACTGAAAATCGCGGGTTACTCACGTGAATATACCGAGAAAAGCACTACCAGTTTCCTAGTTTGAATAGTTTAAATAGGGTTTTGGGAATACAGGAGAGGTTCAGAGTTATGTTTCCCAGTTGGCCTAGTTTAATCGTTTGCAACTGCAGAGTAAGAGGTCTCCCTGGTGAGGAATAACATTGTGGAGGTTTTTTAGCATAGGGCGGCAAACGAGCCGACGACTTACCTAATGGCAAGCAATCGGCACCGTCCATGGACATCCTCAACACCGTAGGAGTTAGAATAGAGTTATCGGCGAAAAAAGAATTAGGGATTTAGATATATCGAATTACTACTACAATTACTCTTTTTGTGACCTTACAGGATTTAGATAGTAGCAGCGCGACAATCGCCGCATCGTGTCGCGGAATGATGCTCATGAATGATCTAGCATGGCTTGAAACTAGTCGAGTTACTTGTCAAAGAGTTACGTGAGTAAGCCGAAAACATAATGTTAGATGTTCACTTTCCCATAGTATTAAGTCTAGAATTGTCGTCGCGGAAAACGTAACGGGTAACCGGGGGCTCCGGCTCGACGTGCAGGAGAAGGAACGGGGTAGTTTTTAGTCAGTAAGAGTCTGACACTCCCTCCCGCCTCACCCAGGCGGGAGCAGATATTCGATGATTTTCCCCCCTTAAAAAAAGTCTAGAATTGTCCGCTTATGACAATAGATGTGACGACACAGTCTCCATATTTTAAATCCTACCTCTGAAGATATCTCTTCAAACATTTCTTTATCTTATTCTCGCTTATTTTTTTGACATTCCTCCATCTTTACGTTTACAGAAGGATGTCCCTTATTTACTTTGAACCTTGCTCCAACAAGGTACCGTTTTGTAAGTACATACCACAACAGAGAGCCTACTTCAATCTGTCAAATTCTTTATTGGGTTTTCGACTGTACACCAAAACGATAAAGTTGAAAATAAAATAAGGAAATTAGAAAGGTGTTGCATGACCTGCTGGCGTCTATAAGTCTGTACTAACAACAAATGAGATGTTTGAAGTACTTCGTCTAGAGATTTGTTTTTGAAGGAATACTGGTTTTGTGAACTGTTTTAGGAGTTTTGTTTACAACTTTATTTTAAAGTAGAAAGAGTTGGTTTTCGTATAGACAAATAGGGTTTTGGGAAAACAGGAGAGGTATCCAGAGTTCTGATTGAATAATCAACCGTATACGTCGGCAATAAAGTTGCATTTTGTTATAAAAAAATAACATCTATAAAATCATCTTCTACCACAAAATACAGCCAAATCTTTCCTTGGTTATTCTTTCTTGCGATTGTAATCGTGTACCAGATGATTTATAACATGTTTACGAAACAAATAAAGACTCGAAATACGGAAAAATACATCAAGTTCAAACAAGGCACGTACAAAATTACCACATAAAGACTTTTATCAAAATAATGTACAGAATTCCAAAATACTTCGGCAGATAACAATGCTGTTTGCAATGAAAGATTGTTGTTTTTACATGTATCAAATTTACTCAAAATATCGCTATTATTGTTGGAAATAACTAAAGCAAATATGTATGTGAACATTTTTGGAAGTACATAATAAATTATTCTTCGACGGACTGCGGTGATCAGAGCATGCATTTAAATATTATTTTAATAGTTTAACCGCCGTACTCAGAGTCGTTTAATGGCTACTTAACCCAGTCTTTAGCAATTGTTTTCGGAACAAAATCATTAAGTACTAAGGAATAGTTTAAGTAATCATGAGTATCGCAGTAATAGCGGTTGATCCATAACACGTTAGACACCGTGTAGGTCACTGGTGACCTACGTTAACAGACGAATTGACTGTACGGTTGGTGCGGTGGCTGGGCAACCAGGATGCCGTGCAACGTGTCGCTGGTTCGATCCCCGCACGGAACAACACTTTGTGTGATCCACAAATTGTTGTTTCGGGTCTGGGTGTCATGTGTAGGTATGTGATATTGTATGTTTGTAAACGTACCCACGAGCACGACACAGGAGATAATCCTAGTGTGGGGCAACGTTTTTTTTAAAGAAAAAAAAAATATTGCCTTCAATAGTTCTCTGGCGACAGTTAAATATTTAAGAACTTAGGCACTGCCACTACGAAGACGTAAAGTTCCCAGTTCCAGTGTTTGGTGGCATTATGTTTGCCCCTGATTATAATGCGAAGTGTTGGTAATTTGAAAGAACGGTGTGATTTTTAGTAAGAGAAGACAGAAAAATTTAAATCTTTAGAGGAGGCCTATGTCGAAAGACAAGCTGTTTTTGAACCGAACGCCGATAAAGAAGATATAAGTAGGCAGTAAGCTAATTGATGTTAGTTTTTATTTCAGTAATGAATTTGAAGCATGCGGTAAGCAACACCGCGGCTCCCGCCCTTAAATGTTAGTAATTTTAAACAGCAATAAAGGCTAATTTTATTTTATTTATTATTTATAACACCCTTCCCGCTTCACACAAGGCAGAAGGAGTCATTTAATGATTTTCCATTGAAAAAAGTTTAGTATTCTTATTGATTTGGAAACCGCACATATAGATATGCGGCTATGTAAACAACTAGAATTAATCCTGATCCTATCCTCGGTCGTACTAGGATTACGTAATCACCAAAGTGGTCCTGAGGCCATGTTTGGGTTAAGCGCGCGATATTATTAGCTATGGTGAGCATTTGACGGACAAATATAGTAATTAGACTGTTGTAGTTACATGTTACTGTTTTTCTTATAGTTTTTTTAAAGGTAGACAAATATAAACCTTACTTGGATTACTAACAATTACTTTTTCATTGTGATTACTAGTGCCTTTTTTATAAGGGGTGAAACTATTGTTAAACGCTCCATCTCTGTTACTAACTAGAATTTCAAAATCAATGTCAAAATCAATGCCCGAGACACGAATCGAATCGACTAGAACTTTTTTCTAGATCGTATAGTTGGCAAAGTAATACTTCAGGTGTTACATACAGCATGCAGTCATTCATTGGCTTACAATAAAAGACTTCCTTCAGGCAGACTGTGTTTGTGCTCCCTTAGTGCTTTTTCACATGTTCCGGGTATCCGGCGCCGAGTACCTGGCGGCGCAGTGTATGGCCATGTACTGTAGCTTTCACACGGGAGGGTCAGATTCTTACTGACTGAAAATCACTCCATTCCTACTCCTGCCCTTCGAGCCGGAGCCCCGATAACCCGTTGAATCCTCCGCGTTTTACACGTACCGGCGTAATTTGCTACATACACTGCGCCGCCGGGTACCTACCTTCCCAGCGCCAGATACCCGGCACGTGTGAATAGTCACTTATTGTGAAACTCGATGTTTAAAAGTCTATTTGGACGTTAAATACTGTAAAGGCATTGTAGACGTTATACATAGACGTTACCTGCATTCATAACACATTAGAATGCAATATACACAAGAGAAAAACAAGCGCTAAAAGAACTAGATTATCTACTCCCATTAATTAAAGTCTAATTAATCGAAAGCCGCAAAAAAGACAAAATACAATCAGCCGAAAATAAATATGACATTAATATGTGTCTGGCATTTAATTAGTTACAAACTTAAGTACCAAGATATTATTTTTATCTGGATATTAAGTTTAGATTTGTTTTGTAGTATATCTCGTGTCCTGCAATGTTTAGTTTGATATCGGATTTGTCCTATTATAATTATAATCTGTCCTATAGGACAAGTTTTACTTACATGTTTCCTTAAAACTATATGGTAATTTGTCTAGGCTAAGTAGGTTCTGTCGTAAATTATTCCTTACGTACAATGGCCAGCACATCTACGTACTCCAATTTTTGTCATTGTATTTTCGACTTTATATCTACTACACGATAGAGTTGAAAATGTAATAAAGAAATTATACAAAAAGAGTAGGTTGACGTGCTGTCCACTGCACATGGTCAAATAAATGGTTTCTCATACTTATACAAAATAATATGTTTTGAAACTCAATCCAGAATAAGACCACACACTGCGTTGTTATGTACAGATTGCCAGTACCCACACTACTATATCGATACAATAATGTACCTAACTATAATATCGCGACTTGATAAAAACTGAAATCTCATTGAGTAGTTTTTTTGTTAATGATATAATCACTACATAGTATAAAACAAAGTCGCTATCCGCCGTCTGTTTGTCCCTATGTATGCTTAGATCTTTAAAACTACGCAACAGATTTTAATGCGGTTTTTTATAGATAGAGTGATTCTTAAGTAAGGTTTATATGTATTATCCGTGCGAAGCCGGGGCGGGTCGTTAGTTAATTTATATGCGGTCGCTACAATGCGCTAATCTCTTTAATTTCCTGTCAGGCTTAAAAAATGCTGAGAATGTTCTGAAGCCGCAACCAGCCACCGAAGGATTGGCAGCAGCATTGTGTTTCGGTGTTTCAATTTCTAATACAGGCCAATCTAGTATTTATGCAATTTTCAAACTCAA